TTTTTCTTTTTTTTTTTTTTTGTCAAATTGGAGTCTGAAAAACATTTTTTACTTGTTAACTGTGGAGATGAAAAGAAGATTTGGATGGTTGCTCGCTCTTAAGTCCATCTTGCTAATATATCAGTCGAGTTCTGCTCTGTGAGCAGCAGATCATTTCAGCCGCATGAGAAGTCTCACCTGTGTGGCAGGCCGCTTTACACTTAATCGGTTTCACCACAGTTACATTTCAGGTATCTGAAATTGGTTCTTCTGGGTCTCAGGAGGATAACACTAGACATTAAGTGAAATAAGTAATAAGATTCAACTATTGTTAACGAAATTGCTGACTTTTACATGTTTTGTTATTATTTTTAAAATATCTGCACAACCTTTTGATAAATATCAGTAATATTTCCGTTATTAATCAATAATCTCTGTTCATCAGTCTGGTTTAGCCAAGGCCAAAGATCCATAGGGCCAAACTACAGGAGTTGTCCATCTGAGGGACATGTGTCTAAAAGAAGTTTAACCATGAAATGTTTAAGCTGTTTATAAGATGTTCAGCTCTTAAACATTTGCACTTAGAAATTTATAGTATCACTTTAAATACTTTTCAGTGAGTTATAAGTCTTGTTATAAGTCTTGTACTTGTTCTTTGTACTTCTGTTTCAAATAAAGAACTTTGTTTACTAGATTGTTAACAAATTATTTGAGAGTTAATTGCCTTAATGAACAGTGATTTAAAAAAAATAACCTGTAAAACTCTGATGTTAAATGTGACGTGATTGAAAATGTCGGTGCACCTAACTTTTGTGCTGGTGCGCCTAAGAAAAAAATGTTAGGCGCACCAGTGCAACCAGTGCAAAAAGTTAGTCTAGAGCCCTGCTGGATAATTCCATTTTTACCACTAAATAATTTATGAGTCAGCGTTAAATGGTCAAACTAGCATGATTTTGGACTAAAAACTGACTAAACTACACTAAACAGTTATTCAAAAACATAAAACGATTGACTTAAGTCGCMTATATCAACACTTAAGTGTCTCTTTCACCAGCAGCTGTGCATCTTCCAGCCTCCGGCACTGAACGTGGAGCACGGCRGGCTCAAACTTCAACACGGCGTCACCGCTGGAGCTGCTCAGGCCAGATATCTGGAAAACATCCAGACATGTTATAGTATAAGTCACCTTCAAACCTGCATGAATTAAAATTATTAAAAACATTTTTAAAAAGTTGGTCTCACCAGGTCATCAAAGGTGCATTTGTGATGCGAGACAAACARCCAGACACAGTTTTGTTTCTGGACATCACAGCTGTCTGCAGCCTGCAGAGGGAGGTGGAAAACAGGTATAAACAGGGAAAGTGCACTACATGGGCTAGGGTTATGATCATTTTATGTTTACATGTTAAAAAACAATCCAGAAAATCCTGTAAACGTGACTAACATGTCAAAAGTCCCCGTGCAAATATCCAGAGCCTCTCATTTCTTTACAGTACAGTATATTGCCTACAAAATGAGAAAAGGTTGAAGTTTAGTGAGATGTGTCAACAGAAATAAGAAAACAGAATATAAGGGAAAATCAGAACTTGTACTGATTTTACAAACTGTTTTCCATCAAGCTGATGATGTGCTGCTTCAACAAAGTTAACGTCTGAGGTCCTGGAAGGCCAATCAAGGATAAATAAATAAATAAAAAAGTCCTTTGTGTTTATTTTCTTTCTATTTGTTTTCACTGTAATGGAGAAAACAAAGCTTTTCAGTGTTTATATGTTACATGTYCATGAGTCCCACTGCTACTGGTTGAAATCCACCCACCTGACAGTGACAGGACTCACCACCACGTTGTTASGACATGAATAGTATACAGATAACTTTAAAATAATGCATGTTTCAGGTCGATGTAATGACTTTTAGATCCCTTTCATCTCCTGTAGATAACTTTTTTTTAAGTCATGGCTTTTGTCCAGCTTCCTCCTGGATAACTGGAGATCATACATGCTAAGACCTTAAAGTATACAGTATCTCACCCCAAGATAACTCCGCCCCAAGGCAAAATTTGAAAAATGCATCAAAGTGGGTAGGGGAGGGGGGGGGGGGGGGGGGGGGGGGGGGTTTAGAGAGCGGAGGTGTGGCCAGGACGAGAGAACGTGACAGCCTCGGTTGAGCTGTCCACCTCACAC